ACATACACAGGAGGGCAGAAGGGTGACGCACGGAGTGGGGGGGCGGGTGGAGGGGGCAGTTGGGGGATGGGGTGTGAACGCACACGACGCCGAGCCCAACCCGGACGAATCACGAGCGGAACACTCCGAGTGGAAAGCTCTCAATCCCTCCCTCCAATCTCCAATCCACTGCTGTACTGCAAGGCAAAGACAGCTTTGGGAAGCCCCCCCCCCCCCCAAATAAATAAAGAAATAAATACAGTCTGATGCGGCTGACAGCAAATCAAAACACAAACACTTCTTGCTGAAGGGAAGGTGTGCCCGCGGAACATTCGGGACTCCACTAACTTCATTTTCTGTTGTGGGGACTCATCATCAACGCGGCAGCAGAAACGAATCGGCGTATCTCCTTCGTGGGACTGAGGGGAGTTTTATTATCTCCTGCGGGGGTCTCATGCTTGCAGAGGCACAACCTCTACCTTTCCTTTGAAAGCCTTTCCAACTTGGAGCCATTTGTCCTCTGTTCCCCCGTCGGCACCATTATTGGGCTTTATTGCAAAATGGGTCTGTCCGTGACTGAGAATACCTGTCATTAATAATGGTCGGTCTCTGGAAAGAGCCCAAATCGGCCCAGAGATTAGAGCGGCGCTCTGGAGCTGCGAGAACAGCCAGGAGGAGATGAAAATCAGCAGGTAATCTCCCTTCCAGGTGTTTTGTCAGCAGCTTAAATTGAGCAGATCTGCTCTTTGAAAGTACAGGCTTCTTGTACGGAAGGTTCTGTTTCCCCACAGGGCTCCTGCTTATTTTCCACCCCTGTCCACAAAGTCCCCCAACCCCCGTCTTCTCAAGCTGACATCTGGACACTGCCGGAGCCTCAGAAAGACCCGGAAAGACCCGGAAAGGAAGGATTGCTTTGACATAATCCCAAGCGATGTGAGACAACACCCACCTCCCTTCTCCTCTGCCAGCTCTGGCCGCTAACAGGAACTTTGTGGACACCCCCCCCCCCCCGCATATAAACATTCTATATATTATACTGTAATGTGGTTGTTCACTGGTCACACACCAGCAGGAGTGTGGGTTCCAATCTCACACAGTGACCACTGTGTGCATTTCCTCTGGGTTTTTGTCTCCCCCAGACCAATCAAGGATGAGTGGTCAGGTGAACTGCACTCTCTAAATTGCCCGTAGTTTGTACACTGCAATAGGCTGCTATCACATCCAGAATATCCCCTGCCTTGTGCTCAACCCTGTGCTAGATAGGTGCCTATTGAAAAAAGGATAATTACAATCTTTATTTATAAATTCATCTGGAGGCTTAGTTCTAATTAGAACTAGCAACCAAAATGTGATCAGTTTAAGTCTTACTACCCTTGTACAAAGGGCCATTGAGCAAAGAACCTGACCTACATTCATCTTAAAAAGGTCACTTTAAATCTGAGCAAAACAGTTGGTGACTTTCCCATCGGAACAAAATGAGATATTATTCTTATGCCACACAAGCGGAAGTATTGTAGGATTTTGACAATTCTAATAAAGAGGCCACACATCAGTATAAATACAGTCATTCATTCATTTTTAAGTTTGTGGTCTCACTGCAGTAAAAAAAAAAAAAAAAATGTATTTCCCAGTATCAGTGTGTAATGTTAAATCTCACTATAGCATATGCTCCAAGACTGAAGAAATATCTAATTAAAGCTTAACGTGTAAATCATGCCTTCTAGGTGCTACTGTATCTCTTCGCAGCATTAAAGTGTTGGATTTTCACTCAATTGTTTTCCAGTTACTGTTTATTCTTATTTGACTCCATTAATAATGAAGGGTATTGCTCAATGTATTGGATTCTTTCATCACAGCCTCTGACATTTAATCCCATCTGAGCTCATCTTCCTCATTTTCTGGCTAAACAAGCCTACTCACTGAATAGCAGCGCAGAATATTACTTAGACACGCTCACAAGTGCACAAAGAGTTGGACCTCATATAAAAATGCTGAAGGTCCTTCCTCTAGAAGACAGTTGAGGTACAGATTGGAACTTCAAGTCCGAGAGCTAATGGCTAATCAGTCACTGATCGAAAACAATTATTAAATTCTCTGCATGCCTTTGAAAATGTCTTCCAAACACAGAAATATAAATTAGCGGAATCCTCGCTACATTGATTTAAGAAATAAGTAGTAAAAGCAGCAGGCCCTAAAAAAGTTTGACGACGATCCATAAAAGGCATCTCTACGTAAAGCACATCTGCTTCCTTTATCTGAAGCTGTCCATCCACAAGCTGTCATGTTTCATTATTGACCCACTGCAGTGTCACTGTTGTGAGCTTTAAACTTATTGAAAGCATTAAATGTAATTAATGCATTGTAACCACTCTCACGGATCGGAAACACATAATAAGTTCTGAAGGCTTCATGAGTTTGAACATCTCCATCATCCATCTCCAAGTCCAATTTCATTCAGCGAGGCAACAGGCTGTGCAACACTTCAGAGGAGTTGCCTTTAGCAGCAGAAGTTCTTTGTAAATAAATGTTTAATAAATTTAGTTACAGATTGATGAATTGCAAGCAAAGTCATAGGTTCAGCTTTGATTTTTCCGAACAAGAGTTTGTTTCAGACACCTAATACCCATCCATCCATCCATCCATCCATCCATCCATCCATCTTCTGTAACCATTTGTCCTATTCAGGGTCATTTGGGGTCTGGAGTCTATCCTGGAGATGCAGGGCAGGGAGCAACCCAGGATGGGGCACCAACCCATCACAGGGTTCACACACCATTCACTCACACAGGCCACCGAATATCTATTTGCATAATTCCAGGAAGAAAAAAAAAATGACTGTGGTGAGCTGCTGAACAGCAACACAGCTGGTGGCTCGCAGTGACATTATCCAGGGTGTTGACACAGTAGGATATGGCCACGGAGTACCTGCGGAGTACCCAAACTACCTGATAGGTCTCTGGACCCAAAGGACGTAGACAGGGAGGGGTGGAGCTGCAGCATTGCAGGCGACCCCAAGCCAAATGCAGCAGGCAAACTTATTTACTAACAAGGCTTTGAAGACCGCAGGCAGCTGGTGAGGCGGAATATATGTAAGAGGCCACAAACAAGATAGCAGAGTGAAGCAAAATACGCTACCTGGGGGGGGGGGGGGGGGGGGGTTCCAGGCAGGCTTGTTTTTCATTTCATTCCCTCTACTTTTATTATTTTTTTTGGAAACAGGTATAATCCCAAAACTACACCCCCTTACACCAAGTCAGAGCAGATACGAATCCTGAGGGAAAAATAATAATAATATTTTTTAAAAATGTGTGGCATCATACGGCAGATTTTCCTTCATAACTTTTGCGGCACACAAAAGATAAACTCTGAATGAGAGAGAGGAAACTACTGTAAGGTCACTTTTGGCTTATCTGAGAGTGTGGCTGAGGATGCCTGTTTGCAAAGAGACGGTGAAATCCACCGGAGGGGAGGTTACATAGCGCCAAATGCCCTGGGTAGGTTATGTTATTACAGCTAGAAGATAGCTTATGTTTGCCCACCCCCAGTCAAAGAGACATGCATGGGGTGTCACGCAAGTCCCCCAATAAGACCTTTTCCAACTCCATCCTATCACCCCCATTATGCACAGTTTGGTAAAAGCTGCAGCAGTACAAAAAATAAAGCAAATATGTGCAACATCTATTAAATCACTCTCTGAAGCACTATGGGATTCATCATGGGTCACAATATCTGAGCCAAGCCATTTTGTCATACTATTTCGGTCACAACCCAATTTTGATTTAAGAAGAAAAAAAAAATCTGTCTTTAAATGGCAGAACAGAGACGCAGTTTTATAACTCTTGCTTAAAATCGAATGCTTCTTAAAATGTAATACTGCAATTACAGGTATTCATCTAGATACGAGTTTTAGTCTTACCAGTTTTTGCACTCAGGTGAAATTATTAAATCTGACTTCTCAGTTTAGACACAAATAAGGAGGAGGCTGATTTTTACAATTAAGAATCATGAGCAGCAAGACCGGAAAGGCGGGGGAGGTTTAGAGTTCACACTATTGGCCCGTGTTGGGGGGTGGGGGGGGGTGGGTTGTTAGAGTTCACACTATTGGCCCGTGTTGGGGGAGGCGGGGGGGGGGTTAGTATAGTTCACACTATTGGCCCATGTTCTAGATACTTTCTCTCCACCTTTGTTTCAAATTGTTTTCACTGATCCTCCTGTGTGATCTTGTCGTCTCGTCTCCAATTTATCTAAATCAATTTTAATTACATCTCCGCTTTACAAGATTTCACCTCGTGAGCCGATTTCCAGCAGCGCATCAGGCTTGTAAGTAGGGGGCTACCTGAACAGTGCTTCAATCCAGCAAAGCAAACACAAGAGCTGTGTGGCAGGATATTCCAGCTGAAATGCTGGCATGCCGTACTTGTATTTAACTGAACCAACAAATGCTTGTGCTTGTAACTACTCAGTACTCTATTACAATGCGTGGTAACCAAAGTACTTGCTTATACATTTCAATCAGTATTTGATTTACACATAGGACACCAGTTACATTACCGTACAATCCTTTTAATATATTCTCCTTTTGCAGTTGGGAGATGAGTTCTCTACCTCTGCCATGGTGCCATTTCTCCTTTTAAGGCTTGCAGAGGACACTGACTGTGGATTTACTACAAGCATTTACTCACACTTTCTGATACTTGCAGCAGGCTGAATAACGAGGAAAACGTCGAACTTACAGCCCAATGGTTTGCGTTCCAGGATGAGACGTGCGGCTATATATAGTTATATAAGCAGGTTATTCAGCTGAATAGTAGTTAATTATTTAGCAGCAAAATGATTAAAAATGCATGCTGTATAAATCATTGATTTAAATATTTCCTTAGCAGATTATGTCATGTAGTGTATTGTAATGATGTAAAATGACTGTTCTCAAGTGTTTGGATCGCTCTTTCTTCTTTTCCTTCTGCTAATGTTAAAATCTGACCCAAGATGGCAAGAACTGGAAATGGGGAGCGGCAACTCACAGCGTGTCCTCTCCAGGGTGTCTGTGTGGCCTTATCGTGATGCGTACGTCTCTCCGTCCTGGGTAACAGCGCCCTCTGCTGGCAGTGACACCTCGATGGCTCGGCACGAGATGACTGCAAGACGTGAACCAATAACCGAAATTAATGAATAATTATAACTTTGAAATAGCGTGCATTCAGAAGCAGTTTCACTGAAATATGGATAGAAATTTGTATTTCATAATTGCTTCGTAATCTTCAGTTACATATAGCAGAGAGAAAAATAGACTTGTTAAAGGCACACAGGGTAACAGAAAGAGACACAAACTATTATCTGACCAATTAGTGTATCTGAGAGACAGTGAAAGTAACAAATCATATCAAAAGGCTGCTGCATATTACCTCAGAGGGACATGAAATGAAGAGCAAGACTTTTGAAGGAGTTGTCAAACCATAACAAGCAGGAATTAATCATCAACAGCCTATGCGGTCATTGCCTCTTCTCTCACAAACCAGGTCCCTCAGCACACCAGGCTAATAGCGAACCAGCTCAACTTTAAAAGCGGATAGTCCAAACGAGGACGCCTTTTATTTCCGAAGAAACGCAAAGCCAGAGAGCTGAGCGATAACCTACCAACCTTAAGAGCCTTAGAAATTTACAGAATAAGGACTGCAAAGCTGGGTACTAAACCGAAACCATTTTTAACGACAAAGTGCGCGCGACGAGTGCAGCACTCCATTTCTCGAGATTCATGCTCCCCGCCGGCTTCTAATGGAGCAGTTGAAGACAAACTCATTTGTGTGAAATTCCAGGTAATGATCAGTTTCCACTCCATTTTAGTCGCCCATTTCTACCTGCTTCAGGCTTTTCACAGAGTCATTTCGTATTCTGGTTTTTCAAAATGGCTAGTGGATTACTGAATCCCAAACAACACAAAGAATCCATTGGTTCGAATACACATTAATCCCAAGAGAATTGCGTAAATAACAATTTGTCGACTTAAAAGAAAAATTACTGAAGTATCTCAGGTTAACAATATGTCTCAGTGGTGCAAGACCCCTCTAGGCAATTTGAACAATCATCGCCCAATCCCCAATTGACAATTACACCATTGTACAAATTAGGAGAGGCTCTGACAACACTAATAACAGAGGAGCCTCCAACTATGTTAATGTGGCCCTATCCGCTACTAACTTTTGATCTGACAACATTCTGCGCACCTGGATTCCAGACCGATAAATATCTTTGATGAAGGCTCAAAGACTACAGCAGACAGACATTAGAAGCGATTATATATCCATTCCAATGCTAGCTAAATGCGATGCACACATTAACATGTGCTGGTAGAGCTGGATGAAAGGGAAAAAAGATGGAAAGAAAAGTTGAAAGAAGAGAAGTGATCACTGATCTACAAGGGGCCCTATTATGAATTACAGGATACATGGAAAGTGAAGGCACTCTCACAGCAGCAGAATTGTAGAGTTGAAGAATTATGGAGCGAAATGTAACATGCAAGGGATAAACAATGACGAAGCGTGCAATTATATGAAAATACTCAACGACAACTTGGTGGGATGCAGACCGACACCAAGCGGAAGGCCATTTTCATATAACCACACACCTCTAAGTGGTTTATCCCGCTTATGCCACAGCTAACGAAAAAATAAAGATAAAAAAAAATAGAATAAAGTAGTCATAATTTTTCGTAAGAAATTCATTTCAATTAGCATTTAGTAATGTTCCAATGTGTTCTGAAAAATATAGTTCCAAAAAATATAGAACGTCTGGTCAGGATACTCACTGGAAGCGGCAAGTTCGTTATGGAAACCGTCAACAGATAGGTGTTTGCTTTTTGAAAACCAAGGAAGACTATGCTGATAAGAATCACTGCTTATTTATGAGCAAAATGTCACACAGGTTTTTATAATCGCATGTTTAATAAAACATTATAATGCATTAATATAGAATCGTTATTAGGCTGCTGGAACTATCTGTGTGGTTACGCGAAAACTTTCTGCATCTTCAGTGCGTGTCAATATCATTTATCGAACAGCGAGAGGTGCTCCAGAGGCTCACCAGCTGCTGGGTCAGCTGAGCGATCGTCTTCTCTTTTCTCCTCAGCTCCTCCTTGAGCTCCTGCACCTCCCTCCTCAGGTCCTCCACCTGAAATGCAAATGGAGTTATATACTACATTTTTTATTTAAATATATATTATAGTCACTCAGAAGAGCCTCCATTAGCATAATAAATAATAATAACAACAATGAACTATGATATCTGAATTTTTATTGTATCACGAGATTGTATATGCAACAGATTATGTGGTGGGAATTCACCTGTAACCATTTGGCCATAGGTTCAATTCCGCTAATTAGAAACTTTGCAAAAATCCTACAGTTTTTAAAATATTAAAAGATACAGTAATTACTAGGGCTGTAACGGTACATATATTTGTCGTGTACCATTTCATACATCATTTTAAATCAACGTTTTGGAAACATTTCTGTTTCTCAAGAAATTACACTAACATTGGAGAAAGAGTAGTTGTTGATTCAGCTATATAGAAGTAGGACACGTTGCTGGAAGCACCATCCAATATGCTAATTCAGTCACTTTTACAGGAAAATTCAGAATAATTCAACTAGAGGGGTGTTTATCACTACAGATTAGCGATCAAACTTAGCAGTATAGAACAGAGGATTTGGATGGGATGTAGTTCATTATTATTGTTATGATGCTATATTTGATTTTTATAATAATAATAATTATTATTTTTATTTTACATATTTTTACTATGTGCAAAAAAGCATCTCTTTGTATTCAGACACATTGACAGATGCATTGTCTTTTGTCTACAACTGTTCCTAATGGTGTTCGTGTTGCAGTTTTAATAATATATAATGTCAAAATAAATTCTCTTTTCCCTGTTTCCCCAAAATTGCACAGAAACGTGAACTCAAAACTGAGGTTTGTATCAAGACTGAATTTGTGTACCGTTATACCCCTAGTTAGTACTAAATGTTAGAAATAAATGCTAATTTACTATAGAAAGCAGGTATCTGTGAATGTGCTTTAAAAGATTTTATAAAGATGACTCAAACATGCAAAAACACAATCAGCTGGGCTCCACGGTGCAGATGTTCTCCCGGAGATTCACCTGTGCGGCAGAGCTGAAGTTCTCACTTGGTTCTGGGGTCGGCGGTTCTGGCGGCACAGTGTTGTGGAGGCTGACCCCGTTCTCCATCTGAGCAGAGTCAGGGACGCAGTTTTATTTGTCACAGTCGAGAGGTTCTCGCTGCTGCCCACGACTCCCCTATGAAGAGCTTATTTCTGTCCTAGAGCAACTTCCCCACCTGCCGTTCTGCACAGCGGGTTCTCCCAATGCTCCTACCCACACCCTCCGCCCAGGACCCAGCAAAAAAATCATGAAGCAGACTAATTTCTCTCCACTCATCTTATCTGTAGCAAGTAAGCAGCACATAACAGGCTTTTTATAATGTGCACAGAAATTTATTTAATAACTATTTCTACCTATAGCAGCAAAACGTTCTCCCGGTGCACAAAAAGAGAGGTTCCTGCAATTTCATTGACGATCCACTGCAGGATGAAAAAACATTCTACACGACCTACAACACAAGCCGCCAGTTTTAAAAGCTATTGTATTCTCCTTAGGTGGCCAAACAGATTGGATTTGGCCTATGGGTCAATGAATGTGAACGCCATTACAACCTGAATTGCACAGCAAAGTTCAACACAACAGATGATGCATGGTTAAAAGCAGTTTATGCATTCAAGCCGATAACAAGTCCACAGTCAGCCACGTTAGACAACCAGAACAACCCAAACTAAACCGCTGCAGTTTTTAGTATAGCAGTCTGAGACTCAAATGTGCAAGGAAATTGAATGAGGAAAATACTATCAAATGAAAGCAAGTTATGACGGAGGACCAAACTGCAGGAAACCAAAATGACTACCTCTGCACTGTGTATTTTACCCACCGTGGACATTCCTGGGTCTCCAAATTATTTTTAAAGCTCCTTATACAGAGGAATTACAACTTATGGGCACTGACTGGTACAGATACCTCCTTGTACCAACAAGGGGGCTAGACTGTTCTTTTGCAATGAGGTTTTTTATTCTCTCTTGCCAATGTGAATAATAGGCTAAAAAAGGCCTTACCAGAATGAATAAGTAGTCATAATAACTTCCATTTTCCTACAGCTCCCACACTGAATGAGGCACTGGCTGACTATGTAGACATTCTGATAAGCGATCATATGCTTTCATTACGGTGGCTGACTTTTAGCTAGGAAACAGAACAAAGTGCATTCAAAAGTCAATTCCTGCTGCAAACACAAAGAGGAAACCACCAGTACTTCTGAAATAAGTCCTGGGTGGACCTTTTCCCCTTTTTGAGCATACTGCATTGTAGAGTTTTCACCCACAATGAAGAGACTCCCCTTAAGCAACATTACTCCAGCCCTGTCACAGGGTCCAAATTAAGTCAAACGTCAATCAATGTTTGACCACAGCACTTCAGTACCCTCAAAAGGTCAAAAAAACGTAAACGTTATTTGCGGAATCGCCAAAAAGCAAATGAGCCGTCATGCTCCAGGACATCTCAGAACCAGTAATGCTCAGAGAGGCTTTAAGTTTATTAAGCTGGGGGTTTATATGCATTGTTATAGGACTGGATATTTTAGCTGGGGTGTCGCACATTTACAATGCAACACAACACGCCCTTCCCTCACATCGGAAGTCACCTAGAAAGCACAGTGTATCAAACCGTCTGACATCACCCAGCTCTCAGTAGTCAGTCCTGCCACTAATGAACTGATATGGGACATGAATGGTTTGGGAAGTATCTCGTTCAATTCTACTGCATTAGCTATGCAACAGGGTGAGTGCTACATATGGGGGGGGTGCGTTCAGGAGGAGATTATTGGGGGGGAGAAAGATGTGACCAGCAGGAGTCAAAGGTACCAACAAACCGCAAAGCCGAACACGGACGGAAATACGACGGATCAAGGAAATACTTAAAGTCAGAGAATCGGGACAGGATTAGAAGGGAGAACATAAGACAAGGTCAGACAGAAATAAAACAGCCAGCAAGGTACCTCCTTTTAATAGCTGCGTCCTTACGTGTAAAGACATTACAGGTATAAAAGGTAGACCCAAATCCGGGTGTTACCCCGTAATGAGAAGTGCTCCTTTGACTGGGAGCTAACAAACAAACTCTAAAGTCAATCAAAAGTGCCAACTAACCTGTCGTTTTCATAAACTGCTACTTAAGAGGGTAGATTTGTAGATCAGATCTCTATAAAGCAAGAGGTTATTTCACAAAAGGACACCTCTGTTGTCATGTAGAATGCAGGAAATCCAATCTTCTCTTAACGGCAGTCAAAGCGAGACGAGGTTACAAAGGACGACTCTAAGCGTTGATATCTTGCACTGATTAGTCACTGCTGTGGCACTTCTACATTCTGCATTCACAGCAAGTAAACATTTAGCGATTAGGGCCTGCAAAAACGCTTCTAGTAAGTACAAAATAAATGACACGGAAGTTAAAAATACAAAGAACTGCTTTAAGCTTCCTTTAATTCGAAAAGGTATGATAAACACACCTTAATTTTTTCCACTATCTTTACGAAGAGCTTTTAAGAGTTTGTATACGCCAGACCCGTCTCTAATCAGAAATGCTGTTAGGAACTATGCATATCCTATTCATATTCATTACCACTAAGAATAGGCAAATCCTGTCCTTAATTGTGCAGTGTGCTGCTGGATTTGAAGGATTACTTTTCAGCTAGGGACTAATGTTCACCTGGCGCACCCAGCTAAGATTCCTGAAGTCATTATTTAGACTGTAAGTCATACGTTCGAATGTGCCAGGTGAATGAAAACCAGCACAGCCAACGAAACTAAAGGACTGCACCATTTTTCAAATGTGGCAAATCCATAGCACATCTAAGAAATAAATCAGTAAAAAAATGGTAAGAAAAACATCAACAGCAACAATACTGAAGAAAATAAAGGAAAACACTTTGAAATAACTGAGAGATAATTGTTAATTGTTAGCCTGTTCATTTAAAGGATTTTCTCTATGGCTGAATTTATAGAGCTAGATTTAGTCTCCCTTTTCACTTCATTCCTAGAAGCCTGATCTCTGGGGTGTATTATCTGTTTTAAAGGCGCCATTCCCTCTGCTGTAACATCCCTGCATGCCCGCCACCTACACACACCCCTGGAGGAGATGATGTGAAATTACATGCGAACCAGTGCCGTGACCGGCGCTGCATCGGAGCTGAAGGAGATGAACCGGGCATGCCAGCATTGCTGATGTAGCACGAGGGATTAGTCACAGTCGCCAATCAACCAGAGCCTGCCCCGTAATCGGCCTCACAGTCTTCCCCTTCAGGTTCCTTTACCCCAGCTCATTTAAGCAGCGTGAGCCCAGGGATAGCTGAAAGGTACCCTGGGGAGGGCATATCAAAAGAAGGTGGGGATTTAAAGGAAGGCGGCAATTACCGCAGTCGCGCAGCTAGGCTGCAGCTAGCTGAGCTGGTTTTGCCTACATTAAACACGCAAAATGACAACGGTTTTGAACAACCGTACTGTGGACTACTCTCTGCTTTTAAGCTCCTCAGCTTACTATGGGGTTACGTTCCCATGAACCTGTCGTAACTGGAAAATGTCGTAAGTTGTATATCAATATAATATAATAAATAAGCAAATAAATACTTTCAGTAAATATGTAAATAATTAAGTTAACTAAATATCATTAAATGAAAAGTAAGTATATTTATATAAGTTAATTTGGTTAGACACAGGAAATAAACACTGCACGATATGTTGTTCAGCACCATACGAGATGTTTATACTTACGATCACTACAGAGACTGAAAGCGTGGCTGCGTGGATGCTGCAATCGCCTTGCATCAGTAGAAAGTATCGTATGACATATCTGACATATGTGATATAACCGATATAATGTACACCGCTATCGCACCATCGGAATGTGTACCATCGTTAACCAAGGACAATCTGTATTTTTACATTTTTTCATACTTGCTTTCAATACTCAACACAGCATAAGGTGAATGAGTTCTTTCCCAATGTCAATGTTAACTTCTTTAAAAAAACTACAACATAACTAGAATAAAAACAAATACTATGATGTCCTATCCGCTCACACAGTGAGATTAACCTGGATAGCCGAAGGTCCCTCTGTCCGTTTTAAAATAGTTACATCCTGAATGTGCGCTACAGAAATCTGAAGGACAGGTTGAAATGTGGCAAAAAGAATACCATGGGAAGTGTATGGAAACACATGCAGAGCTGCCAACATATCGTGTTGCAGTTCAACAATAGTGTCAGTTTGAGACACTTTGGATTCCACAAATTTCAGTCACAAAATGTCAGACAGCTTTTCTACCTTTTTGACAGGGAACACTGCACAAAATTAATCTTTGCACTGGTCTGCATGTGCATGTGTGTAGGTGCGTGTCCTTCTGAGTGTGTATAAATAAGTAAGCTTCTGACTGTGTCTATGGTCACATGACTGTCTGCATATGATGACGGTTTTGAGGGTGTTAAAATAAGTATGTGGTTCTATCAGACCATGTGTGTATGGTCTATCAAACCATGTGTGTATGGTCTATCAGACCATGTGTGTATGGTCTATCAGACCATGTGTGTATGGTCTAATGGTTGCGTCTGCATGTGATAAAGAAGGAATGTGTTTAGAAATAAGTATGGTTCTCTCTGACTGTGGTTGTGTTTGCATTTGATGAAGGTGGCAGGGGTGCGTGAGCATCAGCATGCACGGTGGTGGGGGTGCGTGAGCGTCTGCATGCACGGTGGTGGGGGTGCGTGAGCGTCTGCATGCACGGTGGAAGACTGAGTGTCGCTCACCTGCAGAAGGTTCTTTAGCCTGAGGAGCTGCGACTTGACGGAGGAGCAATCTTGGGCCATGTGCCGCAGCATTGATTCGTCAAACCCCACCATGTGGCCATCAGATTGTGGACTGTGCTTTTGTCGGGGGGGTCCTATGCGGCCTATCGCTGCCCCATGGTATCCATCCAAAGGCTGAAACCCACTGCTTCTTCAGGGGGCAAGAAAATGCAAATACTGCTATTCTCCAAGGAGTCCGCCAGATGTGGCAGGAGGTTAAGGCGATGTAGCGACTGGATTTGGAGCTACTCAGACGAAGAAAGATGAATGCTATAGAATGCTACATGCTAACACTACCTTCACTTACTCCTGAAATTTATGTAGCAAGGCATGAAAAAAACAGCTGAACAACAATCTCACAGTGAACATCAAAGTCATCGCCAATTCATGGAAAATAAAGAGGTAATAATAAAGAATACTGAAAAACAACTACCATGAATATATTATTCTACGTATATCATGCACAGTTTGTTTTGATGTCATTTTATAGCATAGGCGGCAATTTCCCAAGCAAGTGAGAGGCAGGCAGTAGTTATATGGTCAGTGACCACCTCGGTTATCGAAAATTCACAAACACGACGGAAAAAAGATTAATTTCCGCCTAATGCGCATTAATGATTAAATTTATTGTGTCTGACAACAACACACACTGCAGGGAGAAAAATGCTGCCGGAATTGTACGAGAACTTTATCAGAATGAGATGGCAGCAAACCGCAATCGTCGCGGCACGGAGCACAGTCACAGTCACAGTCACAGTCGTGCCTGGGCTAGCGTGATCTTCATTTAGGAACCATTTCGCTTAACGAGCTGAATGCTGGGACTGAACTCGGTTGCTAAATGAAGAGAAGGTGACATATGTAGTTCTATATCAGTGAAGCTCACCTGTTGTCATTATGAAAGTGGTCAGGCCCATTCCAGCGATGCTGACGTCTCCTCCAGTGCCCCTGCCTGCCCCCCCTCTCTGAGCGTTCAGCCTGCGACATTCTGTCAGCATCTGCAGCATGGCAATGCCAAGACATCAACAGTAGGTGGCATGGTGATTAATGACTGAACTTACAACCCGAAATTTAGCATGACCCATTTGATTACTACTTTATAATAACCAGAAAACTACCTTATTATACTGAATTGTGAACTACCCAACTGGTAAAGTCATTCTGGACAACGGCACGTATGAAAGCAGAGGCTCGACATGTAGATGTGCAATTAAAGGTTAAATATAGTTCAAATCTAGGATAAAATCGTTCACCCTGAATATGGTACTTCACCAACTCTTTAAAAGTGAAAAACAAACTGCAAAACTGATTTTTTTTTTCTATTAAGTGATGTTTATATCTAAAGTGACATGCAACTGAGAAAGCAGAGTCAGCCAGTCCCAGGAGCAACTGGGGGTTAAAGGCTGTGCCCAATGGCCCAACGATGACATCACTCAGCCAGCCACGGGATTCAAACCAGCAACCTTCTGATCAAAAGCCCCAGTTCCTAACCTGAAGAGCCACAAACCACTAAAAAGAATACAGAATGCTGCAAAATTTAAGCAGGGAAACCATGAGAGCTGCTAAGGACCCAGACATGAAACATCAATTAAATATAACACGTTTGAACAAAACTTTCTAAATGGCATTGACTAAGTGTGGCCATAGAAAAACAATTTGTGTGAGAAAGACTGGGATGACAGGGCAGGTTCAGTACTCAGCTCAAGGCTGCATACTAAGACACTTAAAGTCCTACAAAATCCCCCATAACCTCACTTTACCTTTACAACACACTGGAACTACACTTCTTGGAACTTTCACTATGAAGTTGTTAAATAAATGAAGCCAAAAGCTAAAACAGAAAACAGCCCTTTATCTTTGCCCAGGTACCTAAACGAGAGCCTGGATTCTGTAGTTATTTTAAAGGACTCAAACGTAACTTCACTCTCGACAAAACTATAAATAGACAGAACACGGAAGACTCACACCGAGACACGTAAGCATGAAGTAAGAGAAATTAAAAGGAACAGGATGATGCTTAAGGTTAAAGATAATCAGTTTACTAACTCTCTCCATTGGCGGCAAAAAAAGTAACAATGCAATGACGGGGGTAAAAAGAATTTCACAAACTGGAACATTACGTTGTTTAAAAATACTTTTAAATCAGAAAATGTGTTTTCCTTCTACAAAGCTACAAGATCCAGTAACTTTAGCCCGACTGCCTACATTCCTCGAGTCTGTGTTAAGTCTCTGACACTTGTTTTTCTTCCAGTGTCAGATCAGTGACAAATACAACTAACTTTTCCACAATCCGTAAAATATTAGCAGCAACTTTTCTGGCGAACTTTAGAACTTTTTCCAACTCCTGTACCCTTTTTGTGGGGACTCACCAGGGGCCGTGGCAAAGCCTGAGCCGGGGCGGTGAGCTCTGGCGTAGGGGGCGCTGGTGTTCGGGCCTCTCCCGTCATGGGAGCCTTCTGGGAAAACACAGGCAGGCCTATCGCCTTCCTGCCTCCGTGACTGGCTGGCGGTGTGTCACGGGTGAAAAGGCCTTAAGCTCCCCCCACAACTCAGTGCTGCCTCAGTGGGCTTCGGGAGGACCACCCCCTTAACCCCCCCCATTCTCCTCCCCCCCTGCTGACTACCCCGGATACCCATTTCTATAAATACTGACGGCATTCGCTTCCAAACCGGAGAAGGAGGGGACTCAGCCACATACTGCATTCCTTAGCTGTAATCGCGCTGAACGCCCAGTCAGGCTAACATGCGAAAATCCACTAAGGATACGAGCTTTCGGGGAACCTGCACATTTCACATCTAGCCGTGTAATGGGGACTTGCCGCGACAGGGTACATAACGCGGGACCGTGAGCGGTCGGCACCTTCCCGTTGCGCGAAGAGCCGGCGGTTTATGAGTTTTCCCTCCTGCATGTGAGAGGTGTCTGGTATGTGTGTCCGTGAAGCAAACTCAGATGGTCTGTAGTCACATACTGGCAAAGGGATTTCCAGTATACTGCACAAAGCGCAGCATTCTCCGTGCTATGGGGCAACTTGAGTACGCAGATGTGGGGGTCTCTAGCCAACAATGGACTGAGGGTGGCGTATTAATAATAGCAAACACTGGGAATCTGTTCCCCAAACACTGTGCAAATGTGAATGTGCCTTCTGGACTCTGCAGAGGATTGAATATGCAAAGAACATTGCATACTGCTTGTCCCACTCCCGGAGCCTGTCACTCACCACTACACAGAGAGCCATCCTCTGGGAGGTCTGCGTCGAGCATGAGGTCATCGTCATCCAAGTCACATGACTCCAAGTTGTCCAGGTTGTTAAGAATGTCCTACAAAAGTAAAAGGAATGAGTGCTGTGGTCAAGGTGCTGCAGATACCAAAACTTTCTCTCTCCTGCATGTTTGTGTGTGTGCCATAGAGATGCAGTGTCCCCACAGGGATGAAGACCTTAACCTATTCTGTTCTATTCTATTCAATAAAAATATCTTTCTAGAACTTTCAGTCTTCAACAATGAGAAAACTTGGAAAAATGTTGAAATATAAGAAGCATGTAAACATCGATAACAGTTCTTATTTTCAAAGACCTTTACGAACCAACATGCAGACACAAGTGATACTCAAACAGAAATACAAAACATCCACAATATCAAAGCAATTCACTAATGCAGTTCCGATATCTATTCTGCCGTTTTTAAACACAATACAAGCTCCAGGTTTCAAAAATAAAGCCTATTTTCGGACAAAAGACAGCAGACTGCGGCAGCATTACATTTAAAGATTTCATGTCATTCGGTGTGAGATTCTAATGGAGGCTGTTACATTAGGCATTAATTTGAAGCGAGAAAAGGACTATTGAATCTTCATTGTGACAAAGTGAATCTGAAACAGCAAAGGCACCATGGGAAGAGGCCCTAGCAGGAACAAGCAGTAATTTCCATTCAGAGGCAATGTGAATATGAACACAACAAAGAAAATGACCTCCAACACCTGTACTGTTCTCACACTCTCTGCTGTATCCCAGCATCCATTCACATGAGGCATGCATTAGATGAAATAAGACTTCAGGATATTTCTTTTGAGTTTTCCATCAAAAAGCTTGTGGGGGTCACTATTTTTACTGCTTACAGAGATTGTTTTCATTTTTTATTCAAATATTATTCAACCATCATTATATTACAATAAGATCATATGCAGCATTGAGCTTCATCATAAATCATTCCTCTATATCTGCATTATTATCTGTAAAGTCCTGCAATACAGCAGCGCAAGAGTGACCCCTTATGGATGGTATTTAAAAATCGGACTTTTATGCAGTTTCACAAACTCAGAAATGGGCTGAATTTTGCAGAATCATATACTTGGAAACCTTAGGACTGTGTTGAAAGGAACATAAATTTGAAACTTGAATGATGTGTGTCAGCATCACACATTCATCACTGACGCCTTTAAAATAACTCACATTCATACAATCACGTGTCCAAAAAAGTGTAATACGTAAATGTAAACAAAATACAATGATTTGCAAATCATACAAACCCATATTTGATTGAAATCAGAAGTAAGACAACAAATCAAATGTTGAAACAAATGTTATTGTTTTATGACAAATATATGCTCAATTTGATGCCAGAAACACGTTTCAAGAAAGTTGGGACAGGGGCAACAAAAGACTAGAAAAGTTGTGTGATGCTAAAACAAAACAGCTGGTTGAATATCTCACAACTAATTAGGTTAATTGGCAACAGGTCAGTAAGATGACTGCAGTGTTTCCCCTGTTAATCAATGTTAACAGATTTCACAGCAGTCAAAAAAACGCAGATATATTTGTCTGCTACTCAGGTGGTTGACGCGACATATTTTCCGACGGACGCTCTCTGTCCGCTGGTGGGATTGTGATCACCTGTGTGTGCGCACGTGTCTGCGCACGTGTCTGCGCACGTGTCGGGGCGGAACTCCGCCATGCGCGATACAGAGCAGAAGAGAATTGCAAACACGCGACCGTGTAGAGATAAAAATGACGAGCTGTTGTGTAAATAAGATAAATGACATAAGGCTATTTAGTTTGTTTAATAAAAGGACAGTGTATAGACCTGTTCTATAGGAAAGGTAAACACTGGACTGGGTATAAAAAGAGCCTCCCAGAGAGACAGAGTCTCTGTGCAGTGAAGATGGGGAGAGACTCACCAGTCTGTGAAAGTCTGTGTGGGCAAACAGTGCAACAATTTATGAATAATGTTCCTCAGTGTAATATAGCAAAGAATTTGGGAATTTGATCATCTATGGTACATAATATCATTAAAAGATTAAGAGAATCCAGAGAAATCTCTGTACACAAAGGACAAGGTCAAAAACCAATATTGGACAGCTGTGATCTTTGGGTCCTCAGGTGGCACTGCATTAAAAACAGACACAATTCTACAGTGGAAATCACTGCATGGATTCAGGAACACTTCCGAAAAACCACTGTGTGTGAACACGGTTATTATTGTGTTCCTTTCTGGTTTCAGGTTTTATTTTGGTCCTCAAATGTTATCTAATGTCATCTATCCCCAAATATCACTGTATCCACAAATACAGGATGAAACTCTACCATACAAAGAGTAAACCACATCTAAACATGATCTGACTTCTCTAAGCCTGAGCTCATTTAAGATGGACTGAGGCAAAATGGAAAACTGTTCTGTGGTCTGATGAACCAAAATTTCAAATTCTTTTGGGAAATCATGGATGCTGCATCCTCTGGGCTAAAGAGGAGTCGGACCATCCAGCTTGTCATCAGCGGACAGTTCAAAAGCCAGCATCCGTGATGGTATGGGGGTGCTTTAGTGCCCATGGCTTAGGGAACTTGCACATCTGGGAAGGCACCATTAATGGTAAATTATATATAGAGGTTTAGGAGCAACATATGCTTCCATCCAGAAGACATCTTCTCCAGAGAAGGTCTTATATATTACAGCGTGACAGTGCCAAACTGTATTCTGCGTGTATTACAACAGCATGGCTCTGTAGTAGAAGAGTCCAGAGGCTCGTCGGGCCTGCCTGCAATCCAGACCTGTCACCCATTGAAAACGAAAAATATGACAAAGGAGACCCTGAACTGTTGAGCAGCTGAAATCCTGTATCAGGAAAGAATGGGACAACATTTCAGTTCCAAAACTCCAGCAACTGATCTCCTCCGTTCCCACATGTTTACAGAGTGGCGTTCAAAGAAGAGGTGATGCAATGCAGTGGTAAACATGCCCCTGTCCCAACTTTTTAAAAATGTGTTGCTGACTTCAAGTTCAAATTGAGCATATATTTGTCATAAAACAATAAAATGTCTCAGTTTCAACATTTGATATGTTGTCTTTGTTCCATTTTCAATTAAATATGGGTTTGTGTGATTCGTAAATCATTACATTCTGTTTTTATTTACATTTTACACAGCGTCCCAACTTTTTTGCAAACAGGGTTGTACTTCATTGAATCGCTTTGGCAAATCTACTTGCATGGGGTTAGATGCCACTTTTTCCGGTGTTTCACTGACACAAAAATACAGCGACCAATACAAAGCCAGAAAAGTCTTGTGTTTAATTCCATTTTATTAAGAGTAGGACTCTTCCCTGCTGAGCTGTATCACACAGCCGCACAATGAAATGCAACAGTAACATTTCAGTCTTTCATCTCCACTGACGAGGGTCTGGGAATGACAGAAAATCTACAGCAGCCCAAACTATCTGACAGCTCTTCTTCTTTGGGTGGATGGAAATCTATGGTATTTGTTTTCTCCGGTAATTTGATTTCAGTACCAGACAGACACCATGGTGGCTTATTCATTATGTTCCTTAAGTCCCTGCTCAGTAAAAAGAGAGTTGAAGTGGCTCATAAGTGTTTACATATCTTTTAAGTAGATATAACTTGTTTTCTCATCCTAAAGGAAGCCTTAACAAAAAAAGTGTTCATATTACAAAAAAAAAGCCTTGTGACATATACGAGAATTTAGTAGATGGTACGTAACCTTCTGGCCCAAAAATTACAGTCCCACCCATCTCTTCCTTCAACACCCCATAAACCACTTCCTGAGATGATTCACTCACACCTGGGTCTTGGTCCTTCTACAGAGGAGTAGAGTGGGATACGTCACACCAGGAAGGGGGGGCCGGGGGTGGGGGTTATATATATATTATAGAATAGACCAATGGGCGAACCATGGTAATATGTGCCCCAACTTCTGCTTGCTTTTACCCCTCAAATGGTTTTACAGTGTTAAACCAACAGTTCAGAGTAGACGTGGTTATGAAATTTACACATAAAGACACACCCCCCATGACCACAAATGCTGAAGGTAAAAGAAATGCAGCGTACTTCTGTCCTTAATACTCAAAAAGTCAGGTGACTTTTACTCTTCAAATACTCATCTGCCAGTTGCCAGTTAAGCGCTTCCACTGTCAGATCAATAGAGCAGATAATCCCTAATCAACTACTCCAGCCATTTGCAGGCCTTGCCGTTGAAGGCTAATTGACTTGGTTCTAACCGGCTATGCCAGGGAGATTAAGCATAGCAGAAATAAAATAAAAACTAGATTACTTAGTTGAAAACCTTGACATAACAGGTAGAGACTTTCTCTATTCTACCGGAAGAACGGTACCTATACTGGATCTATAGTTCACAGCGGCCAACAGAGAAACCTAGCTCAGATAGGACAGATACTAATCTGAATATGACCCAGGTAAGACGAAGCCTTGGGAAGAAGTCTTATATTTAAGAATGCTGTGTTATATAAGCTATAAGCTATGCTGGCTGGCTTAATGCCTCTCTCAGTCGGTGTGCTGAAGAAAGTGAGACAGAATGTAATCCCGATTCAGTGACACCTTTCAAATCAGCCCAGCAGCCCTGCATCACTACTGACATCACCCACTCATAATTTCCATTTCAAATCCTGTTTCTTTATTTCCATTTGAGCAGTAAGGTCATTTAAAAGATTTGGGGATCTAACGCGGCGTCATATTCACAGCTCTCTGCAAGCTCCTTTACAGCCCGATTGGGGGGGGGGGATACTATGTTAGGTGTGGAAAGGTGGTACATTGGGTCTGTGATCCAGTTGGGGCCAACCAGAAGAGAGCCAAGACAAATTCTGGGGTTCTAGGTTCTAATTAAACCGTCAACCAGTTAACAGTAGGCAGTAGTAGAGCAGGTCAAAGTCAGAGCTGGTCAAAGCACTTAACAAAAAGAGGATACATGGAACCAGGTGTAAATATGATATAAAGACACAAAAACAGCAATAACCCGTGGTGTGTTATGTGATTAAACACATCTGATATGATGCATTATGATCCGATAAAAGAAAAA